CAACCGTGAAGATCCAGTTCCAGATGGGATATCTTCAAACCTGTTTAAGGAATGTGCAGCCCGGTTACCTAGTTGCTCACCAACATTTTAACTGGTCCACTGAATCGTGCAAAATACCCGAAATCTGGCAAACAGCCTCCATCCTACCCGTGCCAAAGGCTAAAGCTCAGTGGCGGATTTAGGGGGCGTGTCATTCGCGCTCTCTTCCGACTATCTGAACCATAGTCCTTAACCGTACCAAATGGGTCCCTTAAGTGGGTCCAGAACCCCATTCCAAGGGGAGGTGCTAGGCTTCACCATGCGGACCCCCCCCCCCTCTTCAAATAATTTTGGATCCACTCCTGAAGCTGTAGAGACTTTAAACGATCTCCGAACACTTGCACCGACACCAGTACCAATAAAGAGATCAGAAAAACTTCTCTTATCTTTTATCAATTAAGTGCCAAAGACATTTGACCCTCTCCTGTTTGCTAACTGCTTTAACAGAAGTGTAGACGATGCGCTGCCGATGTATATAAAAATACCTGAGCATCGGAATTTTAAAGATTCTTGTGCTAGAATTTTATTCCTTGATTTTACCTCAACGCTTAATACCATAATTTCCGTCAAAGGGTATGTTAAACTTTTAAATGACATCAATTTTCTATTAGCTCTGTGTGATCGGGCTTTACATTTTCTTTTACACAGAAACATTCAATCAAAATTGGCCTTAATTTTTCGGACAAAAGTTTTAAACTCTGGCAGGGATGCGTATAAACACCTTGCTCTTACTCACTGTTCACACATAATTGTGTTGCCAGGGAAGATAACCCGTATTTTAATGAAGTTTGCCTACAGTACAACATTAGTTGGTTTACTTCATGATAATGTTGAGTATAAGTACAGGCAATCGGTGGCATCGTAAGTGAAGTTGTGAGCAGCCAATGGTTTGATTTTGAATATTAGCAAAACAAAACAGATGAAGTTCCTGATAGAAATTTCGGTTCCTGGTTTCGCTTTCTAAAAAGAAATCACTACATGTACCTTTTTTATTATATCATACAAATCATACAAACATATCCGGAAATGTTACTTGTATGCTGAATTCACTAGAAAATACTTCAACACACTATCTAGTTATTACAATAACATGCAGAGTTATTTTTTTTCAGAATGACCTTGGTAATGACCTTAATTCAGACCATGAAACATAAACCCAAATAAACAGACTCAGTGAAAGTTATACAAGTGTACATAGAAACAGATCATACCATGATAATACATTTAAGCATAATGTGAAAATGATGAATGAGTTTACTAAAATTAATATCATAAGAAATAGCCGGATTCATTTGCAAAACATTAAATTTATACACTAGTACCTGGAAAAAATATAAATTTGACAATGCAGTAAAATTAATCACAATTATGCAATGAAAAGTATAATTAAAATATCACACATGGTCACATTATTTCATAGCAGTGGAGAAATTATGTTACACAAAAAACTGAAATGTGAAACATGTTTGCTTTTATTATTAATTTATTGCTATATTCTTGGCAGCAAAACCTGAGAAACACACCAACAGTAAGCAAAGATTCCCAGTTAACAAACACTTCCATAAAAACCATATCGATACTGTTGCTAGAAATATAAAAACCAGGGCCCGGTTTCATCAAGGCTGGATAGCGCTATCCTATGGCTAAAAATGGCCGCTATCCTCTGGATAGAGCTGTCCAGAGGATAGTGCGTTTCATCAACAGTGGATAGCGTTATCCAGAGGATAAATCAGCTTATCCAGAGGATAAAGTTGTCCGCTCGAAATAGGTGGGATAAATCTGCTATTATGCTGTTAAATCATCAAAAATGGCGAACCTGTTTGCTTTGGAAGTAAATCCTATGAGATTTCACAGGCGTAGAATGATTAGAAAGAGAATTTTAGAAGATGTATGTTTGCTTTTGATGATTTAAGTGATGCTGAATCAATAGATTACATAACAGACTTTATCAAAGTTGACATCGCGCCTGCTACGAACAAAATCCATGCAATCTCCCTGAGAGACCAATTATCTTTATTTTACTAAAACATACCTTTTAAATCGACGAAAAATGTCTACACTGCTATTGACAGAATCTGCCAAATGTGCCAATCAGCCATTTTGTTAGAAAGTATGTCACGACCTTGCCCTTCAACTGTGTAATCTGTGTAAACATTGCATGAGGCACAACTAATGCAATGTGATGTGTTATCGACACTGACACTAAAATATCNCGGGTCACTTTTAGGGAATTTATGCTGTTTTTTCACTTTTTTCAGCATATATGCAGCACCGATAACAAAATAAGTGGAAAACTATCTTACCTTTTGGCTTGAAACTTATAGAACTGGGCCCGGTTTCATCAAGGCTGGATAGCGCTATCCTATGGCTGAAAATGGCCGCTATCCTCTGAATAGAGCTATCCAGAGGATAGTGCGTTTCATCAACAGTGGATAGCGTTATCCAGGGGATAAATCAGCTTATCCAGAGGATTAAGTTGTCCGCTCGAAATAGGTGGGATAAATCTGCTATCATGCTGTTAAATCATCAAAAATGGCGAACCTGTTTGCTTTGGAAGTAAATCCTATGAGATTTCACAGGCGTAGAATGATTAGAAAGAGAATTTTAGAAGATGTATGTTTGCTTTTGATGATTTAAGTGATGCTGAATCAATAGATTACATAACAGACGTTATCAAAGTTGACATCGCGCCTGCTATGAACAAAACCCATGCAATCTCCCTGAGAGACCAATTTTCTTTATTTTACTAAAACGTACCTTTTAAATCGACAAAAAATGTCTACACTGCTATTGACAGAATCTGCCAAATGTGCCAAGTCAGCCATTTTGTAGAAAGTATGTCACGACCTTGCCCTTCAACTTCAAATTTGTGTAAACATTGCATGAGGCACAACTAATGCAATGTGATGTGTTATTGACACTGACACTAAAATATCCTGTAGATATTTTCCCCATTATTTTAATGAATGTACCATCTTGAAATATACTTACAATTTTGTTTATAATGGGTTATTTATTTTCCAAATATGGTATAGACCACTTTTTGTTAGCAACTATCATGGCTTTTATAATGTTTATAGCAACCAACTGCATTATGGGAATGTCTTTTTCCAAATATGGTATTGGATAATTTTTTATCCATTGTATTACTATCATGCTCTTTATCCAGCCTTTATGAAACACAAATTTACACAGAGGATAACTATCCAGAGAATAAGAGATTTATACCATGGATAGTGTTACCCACAGGATAGCCTATCCAACCTTGATGAAACCGGGCCCTGATGAATATTCATAATACGCAGGTCAAGTTCGAAAATCAGCATGATTGGGCCATTTTTAGGGAATTTATGCTGTTTTTACACTTTTTTCAGCATCATTTATGCAACACCGATAACACGATATTTGAAGAACTGTTTTACCTTTTGGCTTGAAACTTACAAAACTGATAAATATTCATAATTCGCAAGTCAAGTTCGAAAATCAGCATGATTGGGCCATTTATATGGAAGTTATGTTGTTTTTTCACTTTTTTTCAGCATATATGCAACACCTATAACACATTTTAAGGAAAATTGATTGGCCAATTGTCTTGAAATTCACAGTAGTGATCAGTGTTACTGAAATACAGATTAAGTTTTGAAAATAAGCTTGATCAGTTAAAGTTTGGTGAAGTTATACCTTTTTTTTGTATATAAGTGTTTTTCCTCAAATTTAATTCTCAGGCATGTTAACAGTCTCATTTTTTAAATAATTAGATATTTTAAGTTGTTCTTTTGACATTTTCGGCATCTTAACAACCTTGTTAGTCGATTATATAAAAATGATGGTAAACCTGATATTGTGTATTGTTTAATAAGTGTCAAAAATGGAAAAAAAACACATATCTTTACAGTTTGTCAGATTCAACCATTCACTATGTTCAGAATCTCAGAATGGAGCAAGTTGGACATTTATAATTGTTCTATTGATATTTTTGCTTTAACTACATATTTTTTTGATTGATCATATAAATTGACAGTAAATTGATTATTTTGTTTTATGTTTAAAAGGTGTTGAAAATGGAAATAAACTCTTTCAATACAGTTTTCTCTTGTTTACATTTTGGGATTTTCAAAGTATGACTCTGAACTCTATGGGCTAGTCACATTTTCTGAATATCCATGATACTTTTATTTTATTATTAAAAAATTTATGGTTATTATGCTGTTAAGCATTGTGTAATATTGCATCAAAATTGAACAAAACCCTATTCTGGGCGCTGCCTCCGTAGTGGCGGTGAAAGGAAAACCATGTTACTTGCTCTTTCCACACTTACAGGAAAGAAACATAGGACTGAAATATAGCTTCAGTTGTAAAATTGTCTCATTAGTTTATTGTTTGGAAGTCATACAGGTTTTTTGTGAAAATTTTTATCTTTCACATGTTGCAATTTTCAATGTGGGACTTATTGCTCCCTTGGGCATGAAGCCCAGTGGTGATCAAATTTTCTTAATGTCCATGTTTTTAATAGTAGATATTTTAAAATTGGTGGTATTTATACAGTTAATCTTTATGTAATGTTGCATCAAAATTGACAAAAAACCTACTTTGTGCTCTGCCACCATTAATATTATGTAAAGTAGTGTTACTTTCTATTTTTTAACTAGTCTTACAAGAATGATTCTTAGGATTGACATACAGCTCATATTATAAAACCAGCTCTATTGGATTATCATTTTTATTAAATTATGCATTTTTTTGTGAAATTTTCATTTTTCTCATTCTGGCACTTTCTAATTGTAAACTTGAACTTCGATGGGCCTGAAGCCTTATGCTTTTACTTTCATCAGTGTTACCTGTTGTGCATAATTAAAATTTGATGTTGACTGTGCAGTTAAACATAATGTATTATTGCATCAGAATTGTCAGTCTCCTGTTTTTGTGCATTATTGTTTTCTGCTTTTCTTAAGGTGTGACTTATGGGCCTGAAGACCTTTGATAGACAAATTCCCCTTGGGTATTCACTAGGCCAAGTTTAGTGCTATAAACTCATTTGCCTAATTAAGTGTCCATTAAATGAGATTTCATAAAGCACACTTGTTGATATTTCCCTGTAAACTCCCAAAGGTTAAGCTCTCTGCTAGATAACATAGTGGCCATAATAAGGAAGCAGTGAATAACAGCTTCATTAGATAATATTTTTGTTGTTTTCTTTTTAATTTTTTCTCCAACACTGGCATTTATAAGATGTGACTTTTAACTCACATCCACCTGAGGCGCCGCACATTTTCTGTATTTCCACATAAGCAGTTGTATTGGTATTCATGTCTTTAAACACTATGTAATATTATCTTATGCACTGTCATCATTTTTCATATATTGGGACTTTCATCATGTGAATTTTAACTCTCATGGTCCTGAAACTGTAATCTTATTGAAGGGGTGGATTGAGACCATCTTCTGGGTCTCCTGGAAGACAGTCAGATTTTAAAGTTTATATTGATGGGTATCTATTTTTTTCTGTTGGAAGACCATCAAAATGGAGGATGGATCAACAAAAATACTTTAGAATACTGTCAGAAAATATTTCTGACCGACCGGATGGCCTTGTGGTTAGAGTGTCCGCCTCCGGAGCGGGAGGACGTGGGTCCAAACCCGTCCGGGGACATACCAGTCCTTTATAAACGGTACCTGCTGTCTCTCCGCTTGGCACTCAGCACTAAGGGGTTGAAGCAGGGGCCTGGTCAGGCAGTGCAGAAATGATACATTAGCTATGAGCGCCTAATATGGCAGCCGAGCTGTATGCTCCCCAGGGAGGCGAGACAGTCTACGGAGTGCACCAGTGCAAAAATGACCAGGCTTCCTTGACTTTAATATTAATATATAATTGTATAACATAATTGTATAACTTCAACCTTTGGGTTGCGATTCTCCAATAAAGATTATTATTATTATATTATTATTATAAAATACTTTACAATACTGTCAGAAAATATTTCTGGATCTGCTCCTGTTATTGACCATGTTACCTGTTGTGCATGATGAAAAATCAGTGTTGACTGACTGTGCTATTATAAGCATTATTTATTATTGCATCAAAATTGACAAAATGACCTCTTTTGCATCTTTTTTTCTGTTTTTTTAGTCTGTACATTTGACAGCTTTGCTGCCTTGTTTATCAATTAAAAGCCAAATAAACGATTTTTTAATAACAAAGAAATTTCTCTCCAGATGTACCCGTTTTACTAACCTCCCATCAAATTGCCGCCTCGTAACAAACCCATTGGACACTTGTTGCCAGACTCCACAGTGTGACCCAGAGACGACCACCACTCCACCACCATTCCCCATCCCAACCAGGAAACCATCCGCTGTCACTGGACAGAGAGGTAGGTAGAAAACAAGTGGAATTTAAGACAGACTTTTAATTGCCATGGTAACCATTACCATTACCATTACCATTACCATGGTTACCATTACCATACCAACCAGGAAACCATCTGCTGTCACTGGACAGAGAGGTAGGTAGAAAACAAGTGGAATTTAAGACAGACCTTTAATTGCCATGGTTACCATTACCATTACCATTACCATGGTTACCATTACCATACCAACCAGGAAACCATCTGCTGACTGGACAGAGGTGTGGGTAGAAAACATGGAAAGAAGTGGAATTTAAACAGACTTATAGCTTTTGCCAAGGATTGTTGATTTCTTTTTGTTTATACATGAACGATGTATATCTCTAACAAAAATTTAAAAAATCATGTGATAATTGTTTACTGATAAATACATTTAAGACTGCATAGACAGAAAGCTGGTTGTTTGAGTGCTGTATTCATTCCCTCAAGACCCCTCCCCTATGTAAAACTGCACACCATTTTTTCCTTTTCATCTCTATATATTGATTGTCCTTGAACATTCTTAGAGAACTACTGTGTGTACAGTGATGGCCGCCGATTTAAGACTGGTCAACAATGGAAGGATAACTGCCAGAGCTGCACATGCCTGGACGACACCACAGGAAGCCTCAGATGTGTGGATGAGTAAGTTATTTTGATATTTCTAGTAAATTGATGATGTGATAACACCGACAACGTTACAAATAGATACTTCTGCATTTATTAGTTTGTTTAGATTTTGTATTTATGTCCTCCACAGGGGCTCCTGCAATGAAACTGAGGATCCGTGTAACAGAAAGTCCACCCTCCATTAGTTTAGCCTAACCTAAGTGGGTCAAAATCTAGGGCGAGGCCTACCTGTACGAATGAGTGGAAGCAGACTCTCTGTCACGTTACACCCCCTATATAGATGTGATAATCCTCTTCAGTTATATACACATAAGAAACGCTATATTATATAATACATTATTACAGATGCCCACAATACACCAACCTTCCCTCCAACTGTGTCCTGGAGACCGACCCCACCAACCCTTGCTGTAAGAGACCCAGGTGTTCAGGCACTACAGGGAGCATCACAGGCACCAGACCTCCCACAGGTGTGACCCCCAAACCAGGCATGACTCCCAAACCAGGCGTGACCCCCAAACCAGGCACCCCCACAGGCACCACTGGCTCCATCACAGGCACTGGCACTGTGCCAGTTCCTGGAACACAGGGTAGCTTCACTGGAGTCGGCGTGGTGCCATCCTCTGTTGGCTCCATAACTGGAACGAGAAGTAAGTTATTAGTATTATTATTATGCATTTTATATGTAAATATAGCTGTTTTGTTGCTTTATTACTTGTTTCCAGTACTTTTCCTTTATTAGTCATGAGACCTGTCACATCGTAAAATAATTTCCTCTGTCAATATAGATGAAAGAAATTAGATCATGCCATAGTGTGGAAAGCAGCCCATTTCAGTGACTATTTCATATTTACATATGGTTTTTGGCACTGCGATAAAATTCTTTGGGTTAATAGTGCATAATAAGTTTAAATACACTATTATAATGTGTAGGTCTTTTACCTTAATAAGACCAAGGGAAGGATAAATTTTAGAATAATCATGCTTTTACCCTTATAGATAGAGTTTAAATAAGTAATACAATAGAAAGAGAAATAAATGGTCTTGCTGTGTTCTGTTTCAGATGGCTGCTACTACAACGGTAGGATATACTCTCAGGGAGAGAACTGGAATGATGGATGTGACTACCAGTGTACTTGTGAAGACGCCATCAGAGGATTCTACAGATGCACAGAAATGTGAGTTGGCGCAGAAATCTTAATATTTGGAACTGTCAGATGTGCCAAAAAATATTTACAAACTTTCCAGTCGTAAGTGCCTGTGCAGTGGCATCTCTCCATAAAAGTTACATATTTAACTGTGATTGATGATAAAGGAAGATGTTAGATCGGCAATACTTAACTCTCATATTCGTATGAAAGTACTATTCTCCCAGTAAATGCTGGTTTGTAAATTAATCACTTTAATTTGTTTTGGTACAAAAGAAAAAAAAGTTATATTTCTTACTGTCAGGTATTTGAAAAACTCATTATTCTTATTACTAGGTGTGTTACCTACCCCGACCTACCATCCACATGCAAGCTTGTCAATGTGATTGGACAATGTTGCCCAACTGTTAACTGCCAAGGCACCCTCCCTGGTGGCACCACAGGCACTAACCCAGGTGGTACCGGCACAGGCACCCTCCCTGGTGGCACCACAGGCACTAACCCAGGTGGCACCGGCACAGGCATCTTCCCTACTGGTATCACAGGTGGTGGCATCATCCCAGGTGGTATTGGCACAGGCACCCTCCCTGGTGGTATCACAGGTGGTGGCATCATCCCAGGTGGTACTGGCACAGGCACCCTCCCTGGTGGTATCACAGGTGGTGGCGTCATCCCAGGTGGATCCACTGGAAGCATTACTGGATATAACAGTAAGTGGATATTGTACTAAGTAGGATGAAGTTTACCTGTAAGGCTTATGGACAACATTAAAGATCCAACCCACATTTTTTTTGTTTCCACAAATGCTTTCTTGTGTTGGGGATATAACTCTGCTAAACAGAAGGGAAGAGGTTTATGATTGATTCAGTACTGCAGAATGGCCTTTCTTGTATTTGTTATCAATAAACCCTATTTGATGTTTTAAATCGATGCCAGGTATGACTTTTAACACAAAATTAATGATACCCAAATTATTTCTTGTTTTATAAGAAAAGGTGGAACCCAGAAATTTTGACTGTTCTGTAATGTTAAAGACAGAGAAGCCACTTTTTGGTTTCAAAATAAAGCAAACTTTCTCATGTGTTCACATCATTTGACATACTGACATTACTTTAATAATGAATTTCATGTTGAATTCAGGTACACTGAATTAGATATAATAATAAACCATTTCTAGGCATGTGTCTGTACAAGAACAGGCTGTATAATGAAGGAGCTAAGTGGAATGATGGATGCCAGTATGAATGTGAGTGTACTGATGGCAAGATGGGATTCTGGAAGTGCAGAGACCTGTAAGTACTATGATTAAGAGTTCTCTGTATGATCATGTAGGTCTTTAACATTGCATTTATATCTTTAGCATGATTGAAATAGAACTTGTCTACTGTTAGTTTTACTGTTTTTTTCTTTTTCTTTCTCTCTCTCTCTCTCTCTCTCTCTTTGTAGAAATGATTCTTAAGATGGTTTTTCACAACAATAAAATAATTTATCCCTGCCTAATTTGTACTTCAGTTTGTGTGACTGCCCAGGCATAATATGGCACAAATGATAACATGAACTGACATGTCCATAATCAAAACCATATAACCAAAAGAATATTATTCATGTGCTTTTTAGATCTTGAATTTTTTTGATTTGTGACTTTTACAATATTAATCATCATACTAATTATCCACACTGTATACCTCTTTCCACCAGCTGCCCTAAGTATGAAAACCTCCCCTCTGACTGCACCCTGCAAACCGTGGCTGGAGAGTGCTGCAGGAAACCCAGGTGCACCAACACTCCTGTCAATGAACTCATAGGCACATATCCACCAGCCCTCACAGGGTACCGCCCTGGCATCATCCCTGGTGGGAACCCTAGTAGTACTCTTGGCACCATCACCGGTATAGGAGGAAGCACCACTGGCACAGGAGGAAGCACCACTGGTACAGGAGGAAGCATCACCGGTACAGGAGGAAGCACCACTGGCACAGGAGGAAGCACCACTGGTGTTGTGATTCCTGGAACCGTCGGAGGAATTACTGGAACGAGAAGTAAGTGTCTTTTGTGGAAAATAGGCCTGGTTTGTCTGAGAAAGGCACTTAAAGTCTGTGGATAAATATAGGTTAGGGAATTTTTTTGTGGAAATATGATATTAATGTACAATTGAATGTGATGAGACAGGTATGTATGGCAGGGGCATCTTATTGGGCCGAGGTCTCTAAGGTCAAGGTTAAAATGTTGGAACATATTGAAAATATTAATTGTATTGCTTTTATGGATGATTAATATTTTTGAAAAGAAATTGATATCATATTCATGTTGGTCTCTTTTTTTTAGTTATATTGTGGAAAGTAATATGGGACTTAACACTTTTGGATTTATCCCTCTTGAATACAGATATTTGTTTTTATTACACTTCATTCTCTTTATGGAGTTCTTGGTTATATTTAAGGGAACAAATCATAATGTAAGCAACATATTCTTATTTCTTGAATTGTTTTTGTTTTACAGATGGCTGTGTGTACAATGGCAAGACCTACAAACAGGATGAGAGTTGGTCTGATGGCTGCCAGTACGACTGCCAGTGTTTGGATGCCAAGACTGGACAGTACAGCTGCAGAGAAAAGTAAGTTCTAAATGATTCAATTTGAATAAATTGATCCATTTATCGTGTTCACATCAATTTTGAAATAATTGCCCCAAGAAAATGTTGGCATCCAGCTGTTGTATTCTGGGTCAATCAAATGTAACTGTTGGAGAGTGGTTTAAAGAATATGATTTTTATGAATTTGTAGGAACTCATTTTATTTATCTTCTTGTATATGACTATCTCTTCGTGTCATTTTGCTGTTATATTTTTACAAATTTCTACGTGCCACTTTGTGAGAAACACCCTACCAAACTCTTTAATGTGTGAGATCCTTCATCTGTAAGAACTGCCTTCTTAGTCTCTGATGATGTTTAATAAGCATTGTACCTAATTTTGAGAGATTACTCACATACATTGGCTTTCCATCTTGTATGCTTTTGACAAAGCTGAGCAAAATGCTGTAAATGTCCGAAATGGTATAATCGTTATATCCATGACTTTGAAAAATCACATGAATTATGAATTTCAAATTCAATTTTTCCTTAGGTGTCCAAGCTACACCAACTATCCATCATATTGCTCTCTACAAACAGTACCAAACCAGTGCTGTAAGAAGCTTGTCTGCTCAGGTGAGGTCATTCATATTTGCATATTCATTAGCATATTCATCAATCTTCTCATTAGCATATCTATTTGCATACCAGTTAGCATATTCATTAATATAATGGGTAAAAATCTCCTTAACACTCATTACTATAAAGATCCAGAGAGAGCATGCATATTTGGGTAGATTTAACCATTTCCATATATTGCTTTCATTGAAGACTAACAGAATTTTTTAAGGGTCTTGTAAAATTAATAATTGTGTTGACTGAATTAACTTTTGAAAAGTGTAGGCTTGCATGGTTGGTTCTGTCTGAGTCAATATGTGATATTGAATACTATGATGCAGCGCACTATATGAATAGCCATATTACACCCCATGTTTGTTGATATAGGACCAGCAAACATTGGAAGCACTACTGGCACGAGCACAGGAACAGGTACAGGCACAGGAGGTGTCAGGCCATGTGTGGACATTCTCCCTAACTGCAATGAGTACAACTTTGCCGAGGCCTGCACAGGACAGTACTTGGGATGGGCCGTGAAGAACTGTGTCAAGACATGCGGACTGTGTGGTTAGTGTTTATATATATGTAATATAATGGAGCCTTACAGGCCAGTGTGACAGGAATGGTAGTGCTCTAGAAACAGTTGTCCTTTTTCCAATACTCTGTACATGCGACATTTGTTCCATATACTAACTTCAACCTGTACCAATTATATTGGACCCCGAACTTCATTCCTATGACTACCATTCCTGTTGAAATGGAAAATGTTGTGCATGCCATGAAACATAGTCTATACTTTCACGTAAACCTTATTTCACTTGGTATATTTGATTGATTTATCAAAACATTTGTCTTATAATTTGTGGGCACTTTTTTTTCAAAGAATATTGATAGATTTATATTTTTATTTTCTTCAATGTTTCAGACTACCTCACAACCACTCCATTGCCAACAGATGGCTGTGTCAACAAGCTGTCCAACTGTGATCAGTTTGAGGACTCTGCATGTACTGGACCATACAAGGCCTGGGCTAAAGCAAACTGCCCAAGAAGATGTGGTCTGTGTGGTAAGTGCGCAGCTTGACATGGAATTATTTGATGGTGAATAGTGAATAAATACATTATTTTCAATATAGATTGGAAAGATACCAAATAATCAACAGTGCTTTGAATCAGAGGGATTATTCTGTCGAGTAAGAGTGGAAATTCTTTGCTTCCCTGTCCAAGTGATTGTATAAACCTGATATTTTTTTTAATAAGTCCAAACTATTCAAAAAAATATTTTTTCAGATGAGCTCATCAAGAAAACTTCACCTTTAGGTTCTACAATCTTGTTTTTAAGGGACAGCCCTAGACCAGTCTGCTGTAGATAACAAAATTAATAAGAAAGTTCTGTATTAGGTCAAATTAATATTACTCTCACCAATCAAAAACTCTTTTCAGACGAGCTGAAACCAACCACGCCATCCCCAGATGGTTGTGTAGACTTGATCGACTGTGAACCCTACACCAAGTCTGTCTGTACCAATCCAACCTACATCCCATGGGCCAAGGCAAGATGTGCCAAATTCTGTGGATTCTGTGGTAAGTTTGAAAGGTTTATCATGATAGATTTTAACTGAATCGATATTATTTCATTTTTTAAAGTAATTCTTTATTGGCTACATATTATTCAGTTATATAAGATCAAAGTATTAGTTGAACATAGTTTTATCATAGTACATTTTAACAAAATTTCCAGATAAAGCTACAATGTATATGATCCAATGTATCCTTTCCTTTTGGCTCCCTCTCCTCAATTTTTGGTTGGCACAGGTTATTATTATTATAATTGTTGTTGTTAATATTATTATTACAGGTAGTGGCACTGGCAACAGTGGTTCTGGCACAAACTCAGGTGGTGCAGGATCTGGCGGAATCACCAGTGGTCCAGGATCTGGCATAATCTCCGGTGGTGCAGGATCTGGCGGAATCACCAGTGGTCCAGGATCTGGCATAATCTCCGGTGGTGCAGGATCTGGCGGAATCACCAATGGTCCAGGATCTGGCATAATCTCCAGTGGTGGATCAGGATCTATAATCAATGGTCAAAGTGAGCATTGCATTTTAATTGGAATTTTTCTATTTCAACATTAAAATAAGAGTGAATTGTATAAAAGATACTGGCTGAAGTATATCCTAATCTTTGAAAGTTTTTTTTTTTTTTTTGCAATATAAAAACTGTGATTAACAGAGTTTACATAGGTTATTTCACAAACCAGTCAATAATTGTCAGCTGCATTCTTTTTAAGCTGATTTTTGATTTTTTTGCTTCTTTTAAGGTGGCTACTGTTTATACAACGGAATTCAGTACACACAGGGACAAACGTGGCGTGATAAGTGCTTATACTCTTGTACCTGTACAAACGCACTGACAGGAAACTACAATTGTCAGACACTGTAAGTATGGATCATGGTAGTTTTAAAAAGGTTTTTGGTATTGTTTATGATACAGTAAAATAACCCGAATTGTATTTTTCCATTGCCAGGTGTAAAAAGTAAAAGAAGATATTAGTCCATGGATTTTATGCTTCTTGGAATTTTTTGGTGTCAAATAAAATTTAAGATACAAAAAAACGGGACTACAGAGGATATGTGAAAAGTTCTACTTTCTTAAAGATTGAAAAAGCAATTGTCATCAGTATTTTTTTCGCAGAACTTGAAATTTTTATTGTAAGAAATTAACCATCCAAATGAAGCACTATACAAAACAACATTGAGCACTGTTTCATATTATTTATCAATTCACGTTTCCATTCTTTGTTTTAGATGTCCCCAATGGCAGCTCCCATCAATCTGCTCCCTGAAGCCAGCACCGGCGGGCAAGTGTTGTCCAATCCCATCCTGTCCATCCTACATAACCATCACCTACCCTGGAGGGCTAACAGAGGCCACACTGCCATAATAACTTGACCAGT